ATAGAAGTACTCTACGTTCTTTCACAAACAGCTGCTACATTCAAGGAAATATTATATTTGTACGCGTGACTCATTTTAGTGACATCGGGAAATACTTGAGATATAAGCAAAGTGATCTTCTATTTAATTATGATATGGGTAACGGCGATAATGTTAAAAATGATTTTACAGCATTACAGTAATAATAGTTAATAATAATATATAACACTGTATATTGTGTAATAGCAATATTATATAGTACTATATATTGTACAACATATTGCACGAACTTGCAGACTTGAACAAGCATGAGAAATGGAAAAGTTTTTATGCAAAAATATTTAACTTAATTTTCATAAGCGTTCATTTTCGTAACTACATTTTTACTTTTCTTAATTTTGTGTAGGTATATATGTACACCCACACCCACACACGTACATATTTCTTATCTATAAGGAAATAGAACAGAACTAAATGATATAGAACAAGAAATATATATATATACGTATACATATACACAGGTCCCTTAATTACGCTTGCTTTGTGCACAACTATTATATCTTTTTTTATAATATGACTTGCTTTACATCTTTTTGTCTCGAAATCCTACTATTCCACGAATTTATCATAGCCGTCACGGTCAAGATTTCACGCGCATGAATGGTGATCCGAAAAATATCGACGCGGGAAAGACCCAGGATACAGTCAAAGTTCTCGTGGCGTTGCCACAACGTACAGGCAGGAATCGAAGAATCGATCGAAAGAACGTGACGCTCACCTGCCAAGTAGTTCGCCGGTGATAGTTTCTACGTGTTAAGAATGCCTAAGAATCAAGCCCGTCGCCGGCGGTTACCTCATTCCTGAGTGCAGGATCGTCTGATAGGCGCGAGTTTCGGAGCACGCTGTTCTCATACGGTACTTATACAGTTCCACGAACCGTTCAAAAGACCGCGGCCGACTGCCGCGGCGACTTCATTACTTGGCTACTTTCCACCGCCACACCGCCTCCTTCACCACCGTGTCTTCGCCGTTGCCACCGCCGGCACCGCTGCCGCCGCCGCCGCCATCTTCCGAGGCTTTGTGGCAGAGGTCGTCGTTCGGCCGTTATCGATTCCCGCCGATCGGCCTTTGGAACTTTGCGAGCGGCGCAAATCCGAGGTTCACGCAAAACCACTGTTACCTGTAAAATTATGATCCTCAGTACCCCGTGTATCTCGAGTAGTGCATTATCGTAGTACACTATCGCGCTATTTTATTTGTAGGACCTTTCAGGAAACATCGCGTCTTCCATTTTGTCTTATCGTCAAAAAGAGCAAAGCTACACTGAGAAAAAATTTACAAAAAATTTTAATAAATATTTTTATTTGAATAGTATCAACTTTACAGTAAACTAAATTTAAGGCGAATAAATATTTACTCAAGAAAAACATGATAGTTAAGTCAAATTAATGGTTTTTATATAAAAATATCTTTATAATTTACTAAATATTTAGATACTAATATTTAGATAGTAATATTTAGATATATTAGTTGTATATACTAATAAGTACTATTTAAACAAATAATTCATTAAAATTTAATATCTTTTTTTCGGAGTATCGTTTTGTTGCCTATAGAACTGAACAAGATTTGAAAAAAAAAAGAAGAAAAAAGTGAACTTGTAGCTTCCACATCGTCCCTCACCTAAATCCGTATCGTGTGACGCGCCAGAAATGGCGGGCGCGTGAAGGCGTCTAACAATAAGTCTGGCTTGCACGTGGCCCGCTGACTTCTCGATTTGAATGCACCCGGCGCATGATGAAATTCGGCGAGCCTATATCACGATGCTCGCCGTTGTGACGCACTGCTATCCGTTACGACGTCAACGACGTGTGTCACGCGCGTTCATTATTGCGTGTGCAATACGAACGCGTGGGATACACGATTCTTGCTATTACCGTCAATATAAATATTGTATAATCAACATTCGTATATAGACCGTTCAGAAGGAGCGCATAGTGCTGATTAGATATAATTCTCCTTGAAGAAACTCGCATAGTTATAGTATTACCTAGATAAAAAAAAACAATTCTTAAATATATATTCAATAGAAAATTACTCCGGAACGTTTTGCAATAATGAAACGCTTTGTAATTGAGCTAACTTTATCAGAAACTCATAACTAAAAGTTCTAATTTCGATTATTTATGGTCACAGAATAGGCCAATTATACGTACTTCAGTTGAACTTCAGCCGTTTAGGATGTTAATTCGTCTTAGTAGGGCGATGGCGGGATCGCAATTTCGTCCAATCAAACATTGATCGTACAAACAATTGGTCGGGTGGATATCGTAGGCAAGGTCACGAAAAAGACAGGCATTAACTTGTGTATAAACGATAAAGCCGGCCAAAATGATCCATAAATTAGAGGTTGGCATGAGAACGCCAACCATGTCTGAAATTAAATATCCGGAATATCACCAGTAATATGATAAGAGCGCGGTGCATGCAACAGTTTTGCTGCTGTGTCAGAAAAGCCATGTAAAAATTACAACTCTATTGCTCATTCTGTTTTACATTTTCGTCAACAACGATTTTATTACTTGTAATTGAAAATTAACATAATCAAATATGTATAACAATATATTTAAAATATGAGACATCTTTAAAAGATCCTATTTAAAATTCTAAGAAATTAAGAATCCATAAACATATACTTTGCAAGAATAAATAGAAACTATACTATATATTAATTAAAAGTAGTAGGTAAAATCTTTCAAAACGTAAGCATGAATGTAGCTCGAGAGCTCTAAAAATATACAAAACGTAACCCTAATATTTACTTTAAATTCCATTGAAGTTACGTCATTCTTCTAAAGTCGAATTGCTATCTGTGCAGTAAACAGTAATAAATTATTAATTAAATCAACATTGTATCATTAATATGCTTGTTATTTGTTCGTTTCTCTGTCAATCATTTGATTTAAAAGATCTATTTGAAGCTTGAACTTTGATAGACGAAACAGTGTCGAGTCAATTAGCTGTCAACATTGCCAACATCTCTCGATTACGCTTCAAAATTTCCTCACTGTTTAAAATTTATCTCCAGTGAAATTTCCACGTAGTAGCATTGCAGTATTTAATTTCGAAGATAGTTCAATTAATGGAAAAATTTATTATGCAGTCAAGTTGCAATTAACCAACAAATCATCTTTCAACAAGAGTAACTTATTTATGTAATATCATTGAAAAATATTTAATCAACAATGTTAACTGGAAAGAACAAAACGCTCGTGTACGAGCAAGTCCCCCCGAGTGTATGCAAAGAGCACTACCTACTTTTGTTGGAATTATACGTTAAACAGGCGTCAGGCGACCGCCTAACCAAATTGAATCAGATGTTTTTCGTACCTACCAGTATCCATTTTGAATTTCTTGACTTCGTAAACGAGAATGATCTAGTGGTCACTCCAGTAGATCCCCTTTTTCAACCGCAGATGGGCATCATTAATGAAGTTGAAATCTTCAATGTTGGAAAATCAGTACTGTTCGCCATTGATTCTGAGGTGGCTATGAACCGCGCTGTAAAAATGATTCTTAAACTCACAGTAAAGAAGCAGATGCCAGACGCCATCAAGTCGGATGTCTTAGTAGGAACTGGCGAGCTGGACTTATCCGGTCAATACGCGGCATTGCGAATAGAAATGATACAGGACTGGAAAAATAGCGTTACAACGTCCAAAGAGTTTGATGGTCAAGTGCCATTGATTTACAATGGCAACTTGTCGGGCAATCTGGATATCTTTGTAAGAATCTCTGGTCTCGGACAGATGATTGTCACACAATTTGGCGCACCAACTGCACAGGATCCTTCAACATTTATTTTCGGCACTGGAGAAGTCGATCAGATTTTATTGTATAAATGTCGCGAAGTGGATTCTCGTATTCTTGATGTCTTCGAAAATTCCTGTGAGGATCTTCAAAGACCGATAACTTGTCCTGTGTGCATACCAGAGAAGTATCCTTGTGTACCGTGTGGGAAATTAGCAGCTGTTGAACAGAGGGATGAGAAAATGAGGAAAAAAAGAATCGATGGGATGATTGAAAGGAAATTAAAAGATATAGTACGTACTCATAGAAAATTAAGAAATAACTTCTCGATTAGATATCTAAACTCAGTTCTGATTTTTTATCAAAGGGCCCTGTTCAATATAATCGCGATCCGTCTCAGCCTTGCGGTAAGCCGGTAGTTCTTAAGGTATCCGGTCTCTTCGACAATGGTGACAACTCTGATGGGAAGAAACCTACTGTAACAGTTGCTGCAGAGTCTGCCGCAACGAAACCAAGCGATCCATCTGATCCTGACCATGATATTTTTGTCTTGAGAATCGGTAAGAAGGGCCTCGTCGGAGTCGGTGAGAAATCTGACATACAGCTAGAGATGAAAACCCCGAAAGGACCTGAAAGAAGACCCCCGATTAGATACGAGACCAGAGATGTGCAAACAGAAGAGCACGATGAAGAACTGCCAAAGGAGCATAAAAAGAAGATTAAGAAGAAAAAGTGAAATGCTTCTTTATTGAAATTCAAGAGTAAAGTTCTGAGCATAATGTTCTAAGCATAAATTTATTCTAGGAAATTAATTTTGCGATATCTTTCTTATAGTCAATTTTCGATTTTGATACAATTGTTTACTGATACAACTGTTGTGTAATAAACATGTGTTTATTTAACCATATTTAAATTTTTTTTTTATTAAATATTGCAAAAAAAAACGAAATATTGTCATTGTAGGTATAAATTGAATAAAAATTAGATAAATCGAACTCAAATAAATGTTTTGTTTTTGTGCATTATGTTCTCCTAATATCGAGAACTTAGCTTTAAAACTTCGAACTAGTAATTTACTTCAGTAACTTGTATAATTGTATAATTGTCAACCTAAATTTTTTTGTATCCTCAATGATAATCAAAATTAATTAGAGTAAACATAAATAATAATTAAATAAAAATTACTAAAGTATGTTCTATAATCAACGACGAAGTTATTGAATTTTCATTAAAGAGACAAGTAAACGTAAAATAAAAATAAATAAAGTAATATAAATATTTGTTATATTAATTGCAATCTCTTACATGGAAATATATGACAAAAACAGAAACTAATGGAAAGGGAACTACTGATTTTGATAGAGTTATTAGTCGATACAGTGAATATTCCTAGAATACGGGCAATTTACGATGAAATATTGCCAGCAAAAACATGCGTCTCGTTTCAAGTAAAAACTTTATATTTATTAATTCGTTTATTAATTCGCTAATATTGTAAAAATAATTATAGATATTGAACTTGCCCCCTATCAATATTTATCAAGAAACGCCAACAGAAGTTTGCGCCTGTACGCACAATGGATCGCAAGTCTTTAAAAAGGGCAAATCCTGCTTATTTGCTCTTTCAGACAATGTCCTACAGAAACCATTGTGCAACTTTCCCATAACAATGTCGGTTTACAAAGAACTACCGCCAGGAGTTTTGCCGGACGTGATGCTAATTGGTCTGAATTTTTACTTGCTTCGTTTTACTACTTTTCTTCAACATCGTTACATTTGAATCAAGGAATTGGAATTTCATCCAAATAAAGACATATATATTCTTTGACACAGGCACTCACCAGATTCAACTTCGTGGCCTTATGAACTCTCTGCTGACCATGTATATTTCTCAACACAGTAATCCGTGCAGAACGATGAAGAACGCTTTTAAAATTACCACAGCGACAGGACAACATGTAGGCGAAGTCACAGTTTTCATCCGCGCTTCGTGTTTCGGCAAGAAGATCGTTACGCAATTTCAGCTTCCTCGCAACAAGGAACCCTATCTTTTCAAGAGCGTGGACGATAGTCCTGTCTATCAATGCAAGAGGGTCGTTTCCGCTTCCGGTAGACAACAGATACAATGCGTGTGCTGTCCCAAGTCTGGCGATGGCAGCGGAGAAGCTGCAAAGATTCGCTATTATATTAATGCCAACGAACGCCAGCGAAAAGAACTGCTGGAGAATATCAAGAAAGATAAATGTCCTCCGTGTTGTCGCGGTATACGAGATATCGTCAAGAGCAAGGAAACTGTTAGAAAATGTGGCTGCATCATTAAAGATGAACGGACTTGTAATTGTGTCCGGTCAAATATCAAATATTCAACATGAGTAGAGAACAGCGCAGAATTAACGTTTCTAAGAACCAATGGATGAAAAATTCAGAAATCAAGATAGCAAAAGCTTTCAGCTAATCGATAACCATCGCATCGTTTCGATCCTCATCTAGCATTAAGCGCGCTCGCTCCTGCGTATTTAAATCTTCGTTTATTCCTGTCTAGTGTCGTGGAGGGCGCCGTGATGGAACCAAAGGGATGCGACTACCAGGAGGAAGGGAGGCCCGGTCGACGACACCACCGCTCGCATCCCCGCCAACCCCTTACCACCCTGCGGGGTGCTAGGCCGATATTGTCGCGTCTGCGCGATGAACAACGTATAAGACAGTCGAGCTAGACGGCTCCACGACAAAGATGTGCCGTCGCGGCGTCGTGCGGCGTCGGGACGCGTGTTAACCCCTCGCCGATCTCGGTGGAGGCGCCTGACCGAGGTGTTGATGGCACCCCGGCGACAACCCAGATGCTCACGGACATCTTCGCGCGATCATGAACAGCTCGCCGCAGAACACGAACACCACCGGCACCGGACAACGGCGGACAGCCGGTATCGATAACAGCGACGAGGAGGAATGGAGCGGCGTCGTCGAATGTGTAATTATTCTGCTTTTATCTGCTTTCCTCCGCACCTCGCGGGGTAATTATCCAATTACACCGAAAAGAAAATGGAGGAATTGTTAATTGTACCAATATATCATCGACCTAATCCGTTCATCTAATTTTTAAATTGACCCTTCCATCATCATTTTTAGAGATCGCAGAATTTTCATCTCGATCATCAAATATAATATGACTACACTTACTATAATTCTTTTCACTTATCCAATCTGTTATAAAGATATATAAAATAGACTTAAATGCATTATAATCTTACAGATAAGAATTTCTTTTCTTCTCAGGCTGTTCTTGAGAGAACCAAGTCTGATAGAGTTGCACGCGCTGACGAAGACAGACGTCGCCGGACGATTATTGTCGAGAAGAAGAATGGCACGTACGGTTTCACATTACAGGTGATGCTGATTTGTTACTGTATCAGATAATAAATGTGATATCTCGATCTTTCTAATAGAGTCTACGATTGCTCGTATTCTATTCTATTAAAATATCGACGTAACATTAAAAATATATCGACTGAAATATTAAAAACTCAAAGAAAACAAATTATATTTTATTTATCAATATTTTACGTATTTTAATTGTATTTTATTTACAAATGCTTTTTGAGTGTCTCAACATATATAATAATTAGATCTTGATCGACTTCACAGAGCTACGGAATACATTACAAGAGAGAACAGGAAATAGAAATGGTAACTTACGTGGATTACGTGGAGTATGATGGACCTGCATTCAAAGCTGGTATGCGGGAAGGTGACGTAATACTATCTATAAACGGCCACGAGATGGACAGAGCCGATCACAAGACCCTAGTTAACTTTATCAAGAACTGTGACACCAGAATGCGAATGGTCGTATCCTTCGAAGATTGCGTCAGAAAGGTAAGCGAAAGCCCGATTGTCGTTGACAGTTTTCACAATCTTGCAATTTCAATGCGATCCTTTCTGGTTTGACAACGTATGATTTGATGAATTAAATGTACCAATGATTCCAGGTGGAATTACATATGCGTTACATTGAGTTACAACGCGCTCTCCAATCTCGTCTGGGCGAATTAGAGAGACTATGCGAGAGAGAACGGTCTATTCTAATGGGCCGATGGAAAACCCATTCACTGCCAGCGCGCAAAAGAACGCCTAACAGCATCGGTACTAATCCCAATCAACCATCGCCCTCTTCTAGCTTCAACTCTTCCACGATTCAATGCTGCCGGCCAGCGACCTCCACCGAACATCTTCTTCTTTATAACGTAGTAGCCACTATTTATATTTATCTGTAATAAGAATTAAAATATCGATACAGTAAAGTTTCTAAACATTCTATAATAATTTTCGTAATTCCAAATCTCAAACAACGATAAAATTTTATAATCATTTCTAAATTATCGCGATTCAAATAATTTAAACACATTTTTTAGTTTGCGGATGGGCGATCATGTCTTATACCACGCAGCGCCGCTTGCCTCGTAACAGTCGGACCGCCTCGGTCTCGTAGCGATCATCATCACTTCCTCTCAAAGATGTCGAGCGAATCTGCGGTGACCTCTTTGCGTCACAGTTACCACCAGGCAAATGGTATGATGGGTACACCTGCGAAGAGTAAATCTCACAAGCAGTCCTGCCAGCAGCAACAACAGCAATCATCCGCTGTTGGTGAAGGACAATCACTACATTCAACTCCCCAGAACAATCTCTGCGTCGCTTGCATCTCCAGCGCAAATCGTCGCCGGGAGCAATCCGACAGTGTCAGTCTAGATGCTTATGATCTTGCCAGCCCCTGTTGCGATCCAAATTGCGTTCCTAGTCGTCGACGTCGCGAGAAACAACGACGAGCTCGCAATGAGGCTCTCCATCAACAGCAACAGCAACAGCAACAACAACAGGCCAACATGCAGCATCATCATGTTCAAGGACAACGAGACCAACAGTTGCAGCAACAATCGCAGTCTAATACTCATAGTTGCTCTCGCACATCCGGTCATAGTCTTCATTCAATTACCAGTAGCGACGTCTCAACAGCCGATAGCGTCGCCTCTTGTTCCACTAGCCTCAGTACTGACACTCTGTACTGGGATCCGAGTGTGCACCAGCGACCACCGCCGTGCCTTCAGTACGCTAAGCCTAAATCTTGGGATAATTTGACTACCAAAGCCTTCGGAGGTTACGGCTTTGGTTACGGTTATCTGGATACTGTAACCATCAAGACTCATAGCGCGGAGCGTTCTGGTAAGGGGTCGCACAGCAGCGGTACTGGCAGATCAAAGACGCCGATCGGTACCGTGCAACGAAAGAGCAGCGGTGCCAGCGGCAGTACTGCATACTCCACAACAACGAGTTCGACAGTCAGCCGACATTTCCAGCCGACCAAGTCGACGGAGAGCTTGCTGATCCCGCCGGGACCGTATCAGAGCGACCTCGATCAGGCGAGTCTGAGCTGCGAGTGCTTGGACGGCGGTGGCGGTGGACCTGGCTCACGATTCATTCAGTTAGATAAACATAAACGCGCTGAAGAGGCAGGATATGTTCCGCCGACCCATGCGCAAGTCAGACATCGACGGTCTAGTCATTCCGATGGAAAACTACGGGCTATCAATAACTCCGAAATTACGCGATTGTAATATTCTTTAAGTATATCTTGAGTCAAGCTACGTGTTAATAAAGCGTCAATATATAAATACTGCTTGCGTTTTTTATTTACCTAAATCATCGGATGGATGGAAATGAGACAACGAAAACGAATCTTTTACATGTTTGCCAAGTATCATGGAAACTTTGAACCTAAACAATTTATATTTCTAAATCGCTTATTCGTACGTTTAAAAATTTTACATCTTTATATTAGACTTGTAAATCCTTTACCCGCCACCGCTGCATTTATTCTTTACGTCGCTGTATAAGTTATTGAATTTCGTCTATGTAGTTTTTAGTTTGTGCTAAAAACTTGTATTACCTATTGTCAGTCTAATAGGCATGTCACAATGTCCCTAACAAACTCTCTTTTAATAATTACAAAGATTATTAATAAACTTAAGATTATTTTTTGAATATATTATTGTTAATCACATTTATATAATATCCAACCATTTAACGAAATCTAAGTGGTTTCTTTGGCTAAAAAGATAAGTATGATAATTCAACGCACTGAAAGCAAAAATTTCAGTTCAATAAATACTGTTATTTCAACGTATGTCGTAGTAAAATGTTCTATAACTCAATATATCTATTTTTAACTCAGAATGACCGCTAATGCGCGTTATTAAACTTTGGCCATTTCGTTCATATACAGATATTACAAAGTGGCTAATCGCTTTGACTATGCATACATACACACATTTTCTTTCTATATACATACATACGTACACACATGAACGCACTTGCGCGCGCATACATAGACGGTATATACGATCGATTCGCCCAATCTTTTCGTTTACTCTTACGCATATGTGTGTGTATGTGTTTACATACGTGCCGGTTCATAGTGTGCAACAAGTATGTTCACAATTTAGCGTATATGTATATTCCTGTGCATAATCGCATGTCTGTACATGTGCACCGAATATCGCGGCGTCGGACCATCGGGTCAAAAAATAAATTATGTCGTTACCTGTCCTCATTTTCCTCTAAATGCGCGTCCAAGCCCTACGTCATGGATACTCCATTTGAGCTAGTAAGAAGCTTAATGACCGGATCACTTAACTGTATGCTATGTAATGTGTACTGTACATCAAAAAGTGCAAGCATTGGTTTCCTTTTCCGTAATTTGACACTCGTAGATCTTCAATTGGAAATAAGCCTTACAGGATCCTCGAACCTCTATATTCTAATTTATCCTCAAATATACAATTACTAAGACGGTTATTGTTTCTTCAGATCCTTAGGCTTTCCATTTTCCAAACTTTCGATCTTCAAGTCTCGGTATCTAGAGTCTTCGACCTCTAGATCGTAGAATCCTCGAGTCTTTAAATTCTCGGAATCTAGGATAAGTCGCGTATCTTTGGATTTTCATATCCGCGGAGATTCTAGGACCTTCGTAGCTAAATTACTCACGGATTATCAAATCTAAGATCATTTAGAATCCTCAAATCTTAGAATTTTAGTTTCCTAAAATTCTAAGCCACTAAATTCTCGACTTTTTCTAATTTATGATTATAGGAAAAACACGGGCTAGCTGTCTAAATTGCCGCTTACATGCAACTCCAGCTTCCGTAGACGACAAAATAGTTTCGCTTTATAATCCTTGAAGCACCTTGGATACGTTTCTCATACAGAAGTGGAGCAAATGGGACTAAGGAAAGGTTTGCCTTGATGTTCCTTAGAACTATCAGGCTCTAAAAGACACTTTCAAATGGTCTTCTTCGAGCTTTCGTTATTTGCGGCGAATAAATGTGCGT